CCTGGGTTGGCAGCCTGACATCCTCAAACTCCTGGTGTTTGAGCAGCAAGGACAATAAAGACAAACCAATGAAAGTGCACTTCTTCTGAGATCATTAGGCCGCTAGCATTCTACATTGAAGCGTCCTCCGTTTTCCTAAGTCCGACGATGTTCCATTTGCTTCCCTATCTAATCAATGCCCCGCGAGCTCGGCTTTTCACTTGTTTCCGCTCTCTAACCAAAGACCCTCAGGTGCGACTGCGACAGCTCACCAGTCGCATCAAGGTGCTTCACATCGCTGGCTCCGTGTCGCGACCGGCCGATCTGAGGCCCAAGGCGAGGACACACCGTCGCGCGCGACGGAGACTGTAGGAGGGTTGACGGTGGAGACTGTAGTAGGCCGACAACCTGGTCACTGGAGCCTGACAGCCTGACAGCTTGGCTGGAGCATGCTCGCTAAACCGCAATATCTGGACTGTCACCCGATCACTTTGGACCACTTGATCCACCAGTGCCCAGCCGTGGTTTCCCATGCCTTGCGCTGGGAGTGTTGGATCCAACCGGTAGTTGAGTGTCGATGTTGTGCGCTGTAATGACTGTCAAGGTATGTCAAGATTCCTGTGGTTTTGTGGACAATATGCATTGATCTCAGGTGTCCTATGTGTAAGTGCAGTTGTTTTTCCCTTTGAGTTCATCCTAGCGGGGGAGCATACTCGAGGCGCCTAGATTGTGTTTGAGATGGTGTGTTCTGGGAAATGGGCCCCAGTTCCATGTCCCATGGCCGAAACCGAAGCCTGAGCCAGTCTTTGTTTTTGCTTGTCATTTTTGTTGGCCGCTTAGATCTCCACCACTCCTGCCGGGTTCGGCGCAAGTGAAGTGGGGAAATTGCTGGATCACTTCCTGGGATGTGGCACCCCAGCCGGCCGCGTTAGTAGTCCAACAGAGCCTAACAGAGAGCCACACTTTCCTCCTTGGGGGAAGCCCCTTCTGGGTGAATGCATGCCAAGGTCAACAATGAACTTAAATAGCTGATTGAGTGCTTTGAGGAATAGTTTTTAAAGCAAAGCCAAGCAAGTTGTGAATAGTACTGGCCTCCCCAAGTTCCAGAAATCTATTTGGATGAGTTAGATACGTCGAGCCCAAGCCCCCGGACTCGGTTGAGAAGTTGGAGAGTGGAGAAAAGGACACGGCAAGCTTGGGGCCAGGCACCATTGTTCCTGGGCGGTGCGACCTGTCTATGTTTTCACTTGCTTCGAAAGCTGGGCGCGACGCAGATCTTGAATTGCACCACGACGCTTTTTAAGGGATTTGCACGTCGTGGGTAGGGCAAAACGGCAACGCTTCAAGGGCTGGAGCACTGGTGGGCGATTTTTGCAGGAACGGTTTGGTATGTGTTGTTTTTCTTTTACCCCACCTGCCGGGTGAGGGAGTGGGTGAGGGTTAATGAGGGTTGTTAAACATTTTATCAGAGCTGCCCCCACCTCCGCCTCCTCCTCCTCCTCCACAAGTACCAGATCGGAGTGGAGTGGGCACCACCGGACATCAACCGCGAGGGCAAGATGGCAGTGGGCCCCACCGAACCCCAACCACCAGGGCTAGATCGTAGTGGGCACCACTGTTTAGATTGGAGTGGGCACCATGCCACCGGACCTCAACCACGAGGGCTATGCACCACCGAACCCGAAAGATGCCAGAAGAATGAAGATATATATGATAGATATAATGTCAGAATCTATGCCATAAAGATCCAGAAAGAATGGTATATTCCCGTGGTAGGGGGTCACTCGATGTCGGGTGACCTTCTGAGCATAGCAAGATGTGTTCTTGAAGACGCATTCCTTCAAACAGGGTGCTGCACGAGCGCCCTATTGGGAAAGGACGCGCGACCATGGCAGGTTTGGATCAATTTCTCATTTAGATCAATTCTGAGCTTGCCAATTCTACCTACTGCTTCAATTCTGTTGAAATGCCTAGCTCATGGCTCGGCCTTGATCCATGTTTCTGGAAAGCCAGGCTTTGGAGGGTTCTAAGGGCCCTGTCTCAGGCACAGATGACTTGCCCGCACCAAGTGCCGATGAGCTTGGCGAGCTTCAATGGTCTCGGCTGCCGCTGATGGATCTGGAAGACCAGGACGCCCCGCCGTGCGGTGCCACCGCGGCGCCAGTCTGGTGGTCAACCCGGCATACGACCTGGAAAGATCCAAATTGGTTCTGATGTCCAGCCAAGGAATAGACCAAAGCCAGCTCCTCCCTGCAGGTGAATCATGAATGGACATTCATGGGGCAAAAATCGGGATTTGTGTTTTTGGTTTGCAATAATCCGCATGATTCCGCATTAATACTGTTTAGATCGAAAATCACCAGTGCATATTTTGGGGGGCACCCTGCAGCAAGCCACTCAAGCGTTGGTTGGTCACTCCGGATTGACGGGAGCAATCCCAGCAACCTCAGCCCGCCAAACGCCAGGATCTCAACGAAAATCTGGAGAAGGTGCCTCAGGGTCGGCATGCATCAGCCGTGCTGCAAGCGTGCACAGCTCTAGCTTGTGGCGCGGCTCGTTTCTTTCATCCTCCAATGCCCATGGACACGCATGAAAGGAGAAGTGTGCGCGCGGGATGCGTGCATTGCATCATACCGCATCCATGACATGAACAAGCTGACGCGCGCATCATATGCACTTGGTCCCAAACGACTTGTTTGTCCCTGGCCTTGGAAGGCCTTGGAGATCATCGGGAAGGCCGAGTCTTTGGGAGGCGCTGTTTTGGTCCACTGCCATGAAGGAAAGAGCCGATCGGTCTCCGTGTGTCCCTCGGATTTCTCCGCTGGAACGGCGCTCGGATTTCTCCGGCATGGAAGACGAAACTCGATGCAGGGTGAGTGGCAGTTTTGAACCGAGGGGTATGTGATATTGATCAGGAGAGCGATCAGGAGATATCAGGAGTTTTCACAGGACTGTTGGCTTGTGGGGCGGCATATAAAACTGGCAAACAGCTCCCGTGCCAGTGTAAATCACACAGATCAATGGGCCTGGTTTGGCCTCTTAAACTGTGATTTGCTAGCCGCTAGCCCTGCATGTTCTAGCGAGAAACTGGGTACTATTTACGGCTGAGGGTTCCTCATGTCACCCAGATGGCCGGGTTGGGCGCTGTCAGAACACGCCTTCCAATCACAGCCAAGGTTTAGCTTACCTCATGAAGTCCGGCCTCTCCCTGGCTTCTTCCTTGGCCTATGTGAAGTCAAAGCGGCCGATGGCGAGGCCGAACGCGGGATTTCTCAAACAATTGCTGGCCATGGAGCAGCAGATCTTTGGAGAGCAGTCTGAACTACCTGAGGAGCTGTGGCTTGGCGTCACTGGGAAGTTGCAGACCAGACTGCACATTGGATAGTAAAGGAGTGGTTTTGGAAACTGCTCGGAAGGCCTGATGACGAATTTAAGCCTCGGTATGAACCAGTATCTTTCAAGGATTTTGACAGTAACTATACTTTGAACCGACGACGTTCTAATTCCAGTCCTTCTGAGTCTATGGGAGCCACTGGAACGTTTCACTTCCCTGCATGTGCCGCGAACACACGTGAGGTTAAGAGGAAAGCCTGTCCTCAGCTCCGCCTCCAAGTGAAGCCACGAATCTGAAAAGGCACCAAAGCCAAGGCATGAAAACCATGCAACCGTGTGTTGGCTGCGACAGGGAGGATCTGAAAAAGACCAACCATTTCAATCGACGAAGACTTGTCTTCCGGTGATGGGAGGCACTTCCAGAACTCCGTTCAGGTTCCAAGTGGTGACATCGGTCTGGCCGAAGGGCTTCAGACATGGTTGAGCAACCCCTCTTGCAGAAGGCGATCAGTGAAAGTTTTCCAATGCAGGGGGCTTCAGCAAACATATACTGTATCTGGAAACATGCCATGTCAGCAGCCAGGGAAGCCGCATCAAACCAGAGGTGCAGGCACTGCACGTGCACACACACACACACATCCATGTCCAAGTCCCGGAATTAAAGTGGGTCGAGAGTAGATGGCACAATCCCCTAGTTTAGTGGTTTATATGGACCCCATCTAAAGGACGTCGTGGGGGTTGTGCCATCTACTTTTTGAAGCAACTGTTCTTGGAAGATGTTTGTTGCCGGCTCAGCCACAAATACTTGGGCTGCGGCTGCACTGCTGTTTGCTTGACCGAGTTGTGATTGCCCTTCACTTTTGACTCACTAAAGTCCTAGGAGATTCAGCTGCAATATAATTAGGTTAGGGAAAGCTTCAGAAAGTTCTTCAAGTTGAATCTTTCCGTTTTGCCGCCATGAACATCACAAATCAATGCAACTGTTGCTGCCTTGTGTGTTTGATTGCATAGGTTGCAGTAGAAATATGTTCATGCAGATTCATGCATCATGTTGTGCTGACATGCTTCTATGATGTTAGAAGCACACATCAACTTAACGCATCATTGTCCCTTTTTCTCTAGTAATTTGAATTGAGCAACTATAGGGTGATTTTGTAGATCCCAACTTCCCAAGCCAATATGATATCAACCACCTCTAGCGTAGTCTCTTGCAACCACCATCTCCAGTTCAAGATCCTCAAGAAAACACATCCGCAGTAGTAGCAATAGTAGTAAAAGTAGTAGTAGTTGTTGTTGTTGTTGTTGTACTAGTAGTTGTACTACTACTACTACTACTACTGCTACTACCACTGCCACTACTACTACTACTACCACTACTACTACTACTACTACTACGACTACTACTACTACTACTACTACTAAGTAAGTAGTAAGTAGTAAGTAGTAAGTAGTAAGTAGTAAGTAGTAAGTAGTAAGTAGTAAGTAGTTAGTAGTAGTAGTAGTAGTAGTAGTAGTAGCAGGAGTAGTAGTAGTAGTAGTAGTGGTGGTAGTAGTGGTAGTAGTGGTAGTAGTAGTAGTCGTCGTCGTAGTAGTAGTAGTCGTCGTCGTCGTAGTAGTCGTCGTAAACACATGTTTTGTTTGACCAGCACCAACTGGAGCGTGTTTCGCCGACCGGTCGATGCTCCGAGGACCGGCGAGGTTCGCCCGCCCACCGCTGGCCAGGCAGGGCAAAGAGACGTGGCAGTGGAATATGATACTGACCAATCAGTTGGGGTGGTTTCAAGGAGGCAATGTAAGCGTATATTTGTGTATAATATGTATATATATATATATAACATATATATATAGGATGTTCCATACATGGGGTGTTTGGGTGTTGAACATTTTGTTGCTCTTTCCTTTTCGAGCGTTGGATTCACATCCAGTGACTTGCCGCTTTGGCGTTGTCATGTGTCATCCAGTCGGGGATAGCAGGTTTGGACTGGGAGCCGTGTCGGTGAACCATTCACGAAAAGCAGAAGAAGTTTCCCTGCATTTTTGCAAGGAACCACGTGTCGAGCATCCAATCAAATCTCCAATTGCTTGCATCCCATGCATGCGCCAAAGTTGGCATCGATTCTGATTCTGTTCAAGCATGTCACGAAAAACTCCGATTGCAGGGGCCAAAAAGGGCTCCAGGTTCTTTATTCAACAATGCTGTTCATTTTCTCCAGGCCACTCCATTCATGTCTCGGTTGATGTCTCGGTGAGTGTCAGGTTCAAGTGTTAGGCCATGACATCACCACAGTCGAAGGCATGGAGGAGGCAGGGGGCCGTCGAAACCTGGTTGTATGGGCCAAAGGTTTACCGTTCGATTGCTTTAAATCTACTTTTGTTTCAATGTTTTTCATGTTCTTCATATATGCATGATGTCTTTTCGTTGGGAAAACTTGGAGCAAGCTAGTGATTCGTGTTCTTGTTTGTGTGGGTGAAGTGCTCTTTGGAGGGCCAGGGGTACGCTCCGATGTGTAATTAGTCACAGAGGCTAAGTGGCACAAGCAGGAATGTTTGAGGTGCACCCTGGAGTCTTGATGAAGACTCTGGAGAACATTTCACCATATCATGCAACATAGATGTTCCAACTTCGAAGACGCTTGGACCATGTTCTGCATCCCAAACGAACTTACAGGCACCTGCGACTTCACCTCGGTGATCCCCGGTGGAGTCCCGACAGTCTGAGGATCGCCTTCCCCCGACACCCATGGGGACGCTCATGTGCGCGCGCGCGTGCGTGGGAGGGGGGGGGCCGCGCCGAGTGCGTCGCGGGAGGCCTATCGAAATTTGGGCGTTTGCCCACAGGCAGTGGACCCAGTGAGACGGCAATCGCTCCCAGCCTGGGCATCGGGTGGCATCCAGTGGCCCATGAGATACTGAAGTTGACAGTCCAAAGCGGGTTGCTGAGGTTGCTAGTATCAACCCCCATGTTCTTTCTGGTGCATGAGTCATCATCCAATAACGCGGGGTTCGTTGTAAGGGCCTAGACAAAAGGACACCGTTCGTAAGCAAAAAAGGACCTAGGTACACATTTTATTGGCTGAAGCACTAGCGTAAGCATAGTGCGTAAGCTTTGTTTGTTGCCACAGTGTGTGCTTTTGTTTTCAAGTGCGTCAGGTCAAGTTAGGTGTGGTGCTGAAAGTTTATCTCTTTTTTTGCGTAAGCGTGAGCACTTCAATTCATGTCCCCTGCATGGCACGTAAGCCGAAATGCGAGCAAGCGTAAGACCAACCGTAACCAATTTTATCATTTTCGTACGACACTTCACTTGAATGAAAGAGAGGTTTTGAGTAATAATGAGCATAGAGCTCAAATGTCATCCATGTGTCATGCAAGACATGTCCAAGTGATGCAAGAGCAGCGCCAAGTGTTGCATACAAGAGTAAGCAAGCAAGCGGGCTGAGCCTGCCACGGACAGTTAAATTACAGTATGTATTAGTCTTAGTGAACTATAGGGATGCTCAGATCAGCGTCAGATTGGCTTCAAACACAACGATTCCGTTGAATGCGCATTGTTTGCACATCTAACCTTTACAAAAATTCAAGGGCCTGCTCAGTTCTAGGACCCTCGGATTTTTTGTTTGGATTCTGAGGTATACGGGGTAATACAACAATTCATAACAATTCATTTGTTCATATCTTGTTAATTTGGTTTTATTATGGATGTAGTTATATGTTCTTTTTATATGTATATTTAATATTGTTCTTTTAATAACATCTATCGCATTCCATCCCGATGTGATTCCATTCGCATTGTAGTAACGATGCCAGCGTCCTGCGGGCCTCTGCGTCTAGCGTCCCGTCGAGCATTGTTTCGAGACCCGCCAGTGGCGGACAGCTCGACTGTCAGGTGCTGTTGAGAGAGGGAGGGGAAAGAGAGACAGAGAGAGAGAGAGAGAGTGTGTGTGTGTGTTTGTGTGTGTGAGACCCTTTTTGCGCAGAACATCTCTTGACATTTGACACATCTTGACACTTCTCAGTTGGGGGTGGCTTACCGACCGGGTGGCTTAGAGGTGTCTCCGTGGGCGTGGCTTTGTTCCCTTCAGCAGCTCAAACCGATGGGGAAAACCGGTTTCACCGACCCCGTCTCAGGTTGATCCACTTTGGGAGCACTTGACTGGCAAGGAGCACTTGATGCGCGGCCATCAGCAAGAGCGTTGTTTCTTTTAAGGAACCGCGGACCATCAGCAAGAGCATCCAACAGCACAAAACGCACACGACGCCGAGGTTCTTCGGCCGCATCAAGGGCGTCCCTGAAGCACCCTGGTGATGAATGGGCGATCATGGGATGGTGAACACGGTGAACGGCAATGAGTGTGGAACGTCTTAAGGGAGGTGGATTTTGGTGTGTGTTTTTTTCCAGCTTGGTGATGAACTAGTAACTGAACCACACTGAACATCCGGATGGTCAAGAAGGTGCATGGTTTTTATTATTGATGACCCAAAAGGTCCAAGAGTAGATGAGATCGGTTTGTTTCACACACCACACGGGCCGTGTCTACCATATTTCAACCTCGCCAATCCCACCAACAGATTTATCGACAACTTTCACTATGGCCTTCAGATGTGTTGGGGATTGTTATTGAGTAGTCTAAGTCTAAGCATCCTGTGATAGAAAAACGATGGAAACTCCAATTGGGTTTGGGATTTGGCGCAGGTAGTTTCAATCCTTTTGGATATGTGATAGGTTTTGCTTAGTGTTTTGCTTTTAATTTTCGGCTCAAGGTGAATCAAGGTGAGAGGCAGGTTTCCATGTGAAGAACCGATAAGGCTTTCAAAGAAACATCGCCAGGTTTTGAGACATGTTGTTCAATGAGAAATGGACACTGGCAGGTGCTTGAATGACAAATGGACAGGTGTGAAAATTAACACTGACCACTGACTGGTTGTTCAATGATAAATCGATAGGTTGTTTCAATGACCAATCAGTACTAGTGAATACAAGATGTTATGTACCTGGATCTTCCAACGCCAAGACTACTTTATCAGTGATTCTTAGTGTTTAACCCCATTTTAACCGAAATTACGCGATACTAGAACCACTATACTTGCACCGTAGCCCATTTGAAATGTGTGCCCCCTTTCCCCATTTCCAGTGTCAGTTGCGTTCCCGTGTTGACATCTAATCTATGGCAGAAGTGACCCCGCGGGTGCAGATGAGCAGTTTCGTGCGACAAGAATGACCCGCAAAAAACGCTAGAGCAAGCAGATTCCCGCAAACACCCGCCGAACACGCTAGCAAGTCAAGATGTCCTGGCATTTTCCGGCAAGTCTTGGTGTATTGAAACCTGCCAGATGCCTACAAGTCCAGACTTGTTCATTCAAGCCAATCATTCTATCTCCCAAATCAGGCTTAGAATTTGATAGAATTTGCACATGTGCGGTGGAGAGTGTGGAGCGGGTGAAGTCAGGGTTCTGCCGATGCAGTATGAATTATGAAGGAAACTTGACAAAACCTGTTGTTTTTTGTGAAATGCGGGGTCCTTTTGATCAAAGCGGACAAGCAACCATGAAAACAGGAAGAATTGTCTATGAAACAATCGACTTCTTGAAATCACTGGAAAATAACACGAGACGGAAGCTACAGGTAAAAGTACAGAACCTCGCATGCATTCACGGGTCTTCACAGATCTTCCACAAGTCTTGACAGATTTTGGTGGGTCAGGTGGAAAACGATAGGTTTTCAGGCAGAAAACGATACTGTAGATGCATTTTGATTTGATAGAAGCCTTCATTCGATTACTGTAAAATTGTCAACCGATCTGATCGACAGGTTGATTGTGTCCCTTGATGCTTAGGGTTCCTTCCGCTAAGCCTCGGCTGCCAAAAAGGATCAGACCAGACATGACCAGATCGCTGAGGTTACGGTCAAAAGGGTCACGTTTTGACGTGGGACACTCATGGATGTTGGAGTGGTAACTGCAAATGTACCTTGTAAGCGTACAGTTCGTTTTGGTCGAAGCGACTTCTGGCTGGCTTTGATTCCGTCCTCCAAGCGCCCAGTTCATCTCGAGGCCGATTTGTCGAGGACGGTGGATGCCCTTCTGTACCGCTTGGGTTTGGATGGCCTCACGGGCGTGATTGGAGACGTGGGTTCCGACGTGGAAGGGACAGGAGAGTTGGCACATGCCGTGACACTCTACAAGCAGCAGGTATTTTATGGTATTTCACATGTTTCACCGTTGAAGGGACGGTAGTCCATGACACTCTACCAAAAGAAACATGTCACCGGCAAACTTCCGACTACTTACGTGCCCTTGCCCTTGCCGGTGAGGGGGGCTTGTTTAGCCTGCACCGGGTGTCAGTAGGATGATGGCCAAGGACATGCGACATGTATAGGGGGTGGTCTTACTTCATGGTCTTTTTGATCACCCAGATTCGTGTGCAAGATCCACAAGACCACAGACTTACAGTACCATGGTCTTACAGATTAGTGTGATCTTCATGATCTCTAAGACTTGACTTACAGTACCCATTCTGATTTGAGGCTTCATGCTCTTTGCCGATCCTGGAAGGTGAGGTCGGAGAAGCAAAGCTAGAGTCAGAGCAACGGGGCCTTCAAGTTTGGAGCATGTATATTTAAGATAGGAAACTAAGGACTAAGAAAATGATATGGACAAAAGATCACAACAAAATTGTTGAAATGAAACTGCAACTACACTGCCCTGTTCCTTCCGCAGCCGCCCTCGGGGTCAGAGTTCGCTTTGCCAGGGGCAGATGCCAACCGAAAGACCACCGAGTGCGGTGGTCCGTGACAGGATGGGTCACGAAGACGGACCTGATTTGGAGATCCAACATGCTCCCCAAGTTAACCTGGAACCCTCAAAATCGAGTTGTAGAGAGGAACATGATCGAAACCACTGGCTAATTCTCAGGCAGACTTTTTTGTGGCAACAAAGAGGCCTGCAAGGGGCAAGAAGCCAGCAATCACCCAACTTCCTTCACTTGAGGAACCATGGCATGGGCTACCATGGGTAGGTGGCCAGCCCCCTACAGCCCGCGTCCACGACTGGACCGCCCTCCTTCGGTGCTCACCACGGGTGCTCCGTTGGACGATGAAGCTCCGCAGACGGGACAGACCGAGGTACAGTGGAGGAATGAAGCGCTGGACACTTAGCACGGCGTCTCATTTCTCAGCGTAAACCGGGGTGATGTGACTGTTTCATGGATGAATGGCGATGTCATTTCGGCGCCCAACGGCCAAAACGCTCGAATGCCCTTGAAAAGCACACTCTTTCTGAAGCCATACCACGCCGTCCCAACATCCGAGTGGTCGGTGATAGGGAAGTTGAGCCTGGCCATTGCGCTGATTGGGCGCTCGCCGGTGCTCTTTCTGGACGAGCCCTCGGCCGCGGTGGATGCTGGAGCCAAGCGCCACCTGTGGAAGGCTCCACTTCAGCGGTTTTTGGCTTCGGCGGGGTCCAGTCCGTGGGGATGGAGAGGGTCTATTGAAATGTGTCTCAAGCAAGTGCAAATGTTCATCGATGATGTATCATGTTGATTGGTTTGGACCACTTTGGACCAGTATGCCGTATGCCTGATTGACTTGGACCATGGCCATGGGAAACTCATGCAACATTGGCCTCCCACAATCGGTGGTCGACTGGATGGATGCGAGGGCCACATACATCGTAAAGGCGGCTTCGAACTCTACCCAGCTGGCTTGGTGGAGAAAGTGAACGGAAAACCTTTGCACCACCACAGCTTTCAGTGTTTTATTGAATATAATTAGATGGTGCACCCAAACAGTCATGAGAACTTTGATGCTACATTGTAATGTGTATATACAACGTCAACCTGAGAACCACGTCAATCCAAACAAACAAAGAATGTGAATATTTGATGGGGTGCGGACATCGTCGGACCTTTTTTTCCGTTGGCTTTTTAATGAAATCCTCGGTTTTCTAGCTGAACAATGCATCATCAATTATATCAACGACTTCGAACAGTTTTCTGGGTGTTTTGATGGGCCTCACTGCGGGACACGAAGAAGAAGAGGCGCGCGGCGCCAGGTCATTCAACGCCGAGGCCGTGAACAGACGGTGGTGGTGACCACGCACTCCATGGAAGAGGCACGCATACCGCGGGATCAACACTTGCAACCATACAACTCCTAGCCTAGACTCAAAAGCAAACTCACTAAACCACTTTGTGGGTTGCTCTTTTAGTTTGAGAAGGGGCTTTGACACATTGAGAATCGCCCACCCTGCCTCTGTGATCAGCGGGAACCAGCAGTACAGCCGCTTCGTACAGCCGCTTCGTGCCAGGCAGAGGCCTTGTGCGATCGTATCGCCATCCAGGACCGGGTGGGTGCTCGTGGCGAAAAGCGGCGCAAGGTGTTGGGAGGAAAATGAACCAAATGCCAATCAACAGAGGCCCTGCATCTTGGAGGAAGTGCAGCAAAGCACGGAGAGAATCCACACAGCTGAGAAGTCCCATCGGTGGGTGGGGGAACTAGTGGCCTCAGTGAAACGGAGCAAGATGCAGGTGCGAGGACAGCTGCGATGCTTGGGGTCGCCTTTGCACATTAAGCTTGGCTCCCCAGGAGCTGTCAAGAGCCGATCGGTGGACCGCATGGGTGCTGCTCAGTGGGTGCTTGGTTCATTTTGGGGGATCGACTCGGGGTCTCAGTGGATGATGACATGATGCCATGTCTATGTGATGTCAAGTATTAAGTATAAGTCAAGCAATATAATATACAATCAATGTAATGTGTTCTGATTATCACATCGAGTTCGAGTTCTTTTGGGGGAGCACAGTGCACTCTTTGAATTTGATCAACTGTGCGATTGCTAGTGGATGGAGGAGTTGGAAGCAGAATTGCAATTGGTTGCTCATCTGTCAGTTCTTTGGATCCTCATACAGCGGGTGCTACATGCAGAAACCTTGGAAACCATGACGGCCGACGGTCGAAAGGTATCGGTATCGGCGCGGGCGCTTCGCACAGCTTCGCACGTATGGCACCTTTGAGGGCCAAGTATGGCTCGGGCTATCAGCTGGAGCTCTTCAGCAATGATCGCAGAGGTGCGAGGGCGGGGGCTCAGATTGCAAACATGCGAGAAGGGGAAGAGAATCTTGGTCAACAAGTCAGGGGAACGGAAATTCCGGGAATCACACCTATGACAGAGGACATCTCAGCTGCCAAGTAGCGAGGTAGATGTACCCTTCAAGATTGCACGTATTTGTTCGCCCCAGAGGCAGTCTAACCTACTGATTCAGTTTGATTCGTCGGGCAAATCAGCAAACCATCACAAGTTTGCCCCTCCAATGTGAGGCTGTCAAAAGTTCAATTAATTAAGACATAATTTTACAGAGCCCAGTTGATGACAGTTCCTATCAACCTTCCTCCAAAGATCCTGGCAGTGAAGAGACTGGAAATAAATTGCAGTGTGAATGAACCAGGTGAACAGTCCAGACCATTTTTGGAACCGGTCTTGGACCCTGACATGTCAGGCTACAAGCTCCCATGGGTGGGTGGACGTTTGTGCTCTGGTCGAGCTCGTTTCTAGGCCCAGATGCTTGGGAGGAGAAGGCGCAGGAGTGACTCATCAATCCGAATCATCGCTTGATACGACGCTTGCGTGCGGAGGTGCCACGGTTTTCGCGGCAACTGCTTGGCAGCTGGAAAACCATGATTCCAGATGTCTTTTTCTATACAGATTCGCTACGGTTCGCTACATCTGACATCATCAGACCCTTTGTTGGACAGAGTGCAGATCCTCTCCCACTCGGTGTTCGGTGTGTGGTTTAACCGTGTTCGGGTAAAGAAGACCACAAAGAGAGCCAGTTGCCTGGTAGTGCAATCCGCGGCGATTCAGTGAGATTCTGATGACCACAAAGACCCCTCAATTGCCAAATTGTATGTTATTGTTCATTTGCATTCGGCCAGGTTTGTTGGTTATATATACATCCCCGAAGCTCCAACCATGTTTGCGGGACTTGCTCAGCTGGATCTCTCATATTCACCAGTTTTACAATTTGTCCTCTTGCAAATTCGAAGCGGGTCAAGAGCAAGAGAGCAATTTCGACCATGAGCCTCAAAAGGGTGGTTGGAAGGCTCATTTGATGCGATTCATTGGCACTTTTAAGTGCTCTAATTCAAGCTGGGGGTCTCTTTTGCGCTCCTTTCAGTGTGAAGGATTCGTCTCAGGCTTTTATGGCAATGTCCCTGTCGCAAGGCGTAGGCTTGAATCCCCTCCTTCCAGGTAGAGGCTAAGAAACCCAAAACATTAAACATACAAAAACAATATAAACAAATACAACCCTGAAATGCAACTTTTTTTGCATGGTTCTACATCCCAACTGGCCCTGGTTCCCAAATATCATACTCAAATGAGGGCCACAATGCAAATAGCACCCACCAAGCCAATTGAATTTTGAATGTGTTGTCAAGAAATATTTGCGCGAATTGCTGTTTTTTTGCGTTGTGGCAAAATAGAAACAAACGCAGTCGGGCCGCAAAATCAGCAAACACCCTCGTCGACACGGCAGAAAAACAAAAAACACATACAAAATTTGGTTTCGCAACCCGTTTCGGCTTCTTTTTTGTTTTTTGGCGGGTCGCATCGTGTTGATTTTTTTTGTATTGTGTTTTTTTCTTTTTTCGCGGGTCGTAACATCGTATTTGTTTCGTATATGTTTTTGTATGTTCTTCGCGGGTCGTATTTTTTTGTATGTGTTTTTTTTCATTTTTTGTATCTTTGTTGTTTTGTTTTTGTTTGTGTTTTTGTATTTTATTTTGTATATTATTTTAGTATTTCTTCGTATTTGTTCGTACTGTTTGTATTTTTGACAAATACAAACAATGTCGTATGTTTTGCATTTTTAAGCAATACAATTTTGTTTTCGTATTTGTTCCGTATTTTAAAAAAATGCAAATGTTCAACCTCGAACTGCGAAGCGGCGAAAACCACTGGCAATTTTTTTGACAACCAGCGAAACGTGGTCAGGCTACCCGACAACCACGAGAGGCTGCTCCAAAAAACAAGGGGGCCAGCTTCCCATCCCACCCATATCAATGCGTATCAAGTAGCAATTTACGTGAATATTGCTTGCAGTTTTGCATGTTTGTTAGGGTAATCGAAAGTGTACTTTCAAAAAAATACAACTGGTTAGTTTGTATTTTCCAGTCGTATTTTTATTGTATGTTTTTATTTGTTTAATTCTTTTATTATGGCTTATAGGCTGTACCTGGATCCGGGGAACCAAGCGTAGGCCTTCCTAAGCCATGCTGATTTACGTTGATTCACTCCCACATGCAGGGTTCCATGGTCGAAGATCACTGCGATTGGAACAGACAGACACAATAAAAGGATTAAGAAGGCCAATTATGGCAGTTCATAGTTTGATCATGTATTCACTGGCATGGCAGTGGCAGAGACATCCCATCATGGTCTCGACATCAGGAGTTCAAACGCTTTGTCGAGACCATCGCTCCTGGCAGCAGCCTGCTGGAGCAGCATGGTGGGAGGCCAATGGAGCGGCCATTTGAGCATCTGGGTTCAGTTCCTGGCCTGGCCCATGACTTTATGGGATGGTTTGTCAGCAACGACCCAGATCAGAGTCTAAGTAAGTAAATTTGCGTAATGTTTTGATATGTTTAGAATGTTGATTGTGTTTGGCACGATGATGCCGATTGCGGTGTGATGATTGTGTGTTTGGGAATTTTTTCCTAGCTTCCTCATGTTCGGGGACACAATACCAGCAAAGTGAACTACCTAGTGGCGTTGCAGCAGAATATGAAAAACACAAATTGTTTTTGGAATTGGCATCAGGTGCAAGCCATCGACTGTGATATTATGCCGTACCATGTCGTACCATTGACTGAAGCTCCGGACCTTTGTCATTACCTCCACCTGGGATGTGTGTCGAGACTGAGACCACCATGTCCTTTGGCAGGTTCCTGTTCCAACTGCCAGCATTGTCACAGGACCGCGCTTTCGTTCAGCATGTGGGAGTTGTTCTTCGTAAACAATGCATGACTTTGGGCCATATATAGGATCCAAGGAACAGCAGCTGGAACTTGAGTAGCAAACTTGGCTTGTGGACACTTGGCGGATGGCAGTCAGTGTGCAGCGCCGTACTGGCTTAGACCAACATGACAAGAGGACGATGAGTGGAAACTTGCTCGAGCAATGCAAGTGTTTGAAGGCGGAAGAAGGCGAACATGTTTTGCTGCCACACGTTGTCGCCAGCTACTGTGCAGGTGTGGCATATATATATATATATAACCCTTTCATACATTCTAGCGTTTGGGTGTGGGAGTGCAGTTTTTTTGTGAATCTCCATGAATCAAAAGCCTCTCGAGGACTCTGGAAGCTTGGGCGCCATTTTCCAAGAGGTGGAGCCGAAAGACTCGTGGAGAGGATGCAGAAAAGACAGTTCTCTATGCAACCAAGTTTCAAGGAACAAATTGTTTGGAGCAGTGGTGAAGGGCACTTCGTAGTGGAGTGGGTGGGTGGGTGTTTGGGATGTGCATGCAGACAGTCTCATGTACATGCATATACCTTTTTACTAGAAGAAAGCTAGAAACACAGAGGACATCTAGGTAATGAAATCTAACTACATGGACGCCCCAGCGTGCCATGGCGGTTGCTATGCCTGTTCGTCTTCGCTTCCTGTCCACCAACTTGAAGCCTACATGATTACACTCATGAGATCCCATGGCCCTGCGGAGTAAAGTGTCAGTTTTCGTCAGGTGCAGAAGAATATGGCCGCCTTGGAGGTCTTGGATTACTCAATCACACAGCCTTCTCTGGAGCAGGCCATGTTTTCGTCACGTTGGACGCCCGAGGTCGCCGGACCTCACCCGGGTGACGGGACGACAACGTTCCGGGTGACTGTGACGTCGTAGTCCTTCACTCCGCCGCCGCCGGAGCCACCTCCCAAAGGCCAGAGAAAAGCGAAAGTAGAGAAGAATAAACACATGCCATTTCCTGAGCCTTTGCGCTCTTCTCTTTCTTGCAGGGGGGTTAACACAACACAACCCCCAAAGTGAGCAGAGGATGTTGATGCATGGTGCATGTTGTTTGTCCTTGCAGATGCGCTGGAGGAAAAGTGGCTGAACTTTCCGAACATGCGTTTCCTCGCCTGAAGAAAGGGGCTCTATTTTGTGGAGGGATGCAGGGAATGCGACGGTTGTATGTCTCACGGGGACTCTTATCCATTCGGAATATTTTCACATGTTGAGACCACACTTTGCGTGGTGTCTTGGGCGTCCTGGTCCATCGTCAGTTCCTACATCCAGGTGTTTGTCCGCTTCGCGAGGGAACAGGACGAAGAAGAACAAGAAGAGGAGGGGATATCAGATGTTGAGCTGCCTCCCTGAGTGGAATTCATTAGAGGAAGACAATTCAAGAAGAGACAGTATTCAATTGGATCCATGGACATGCAGCGATATGCAGGAACAGGCATGAAATAAATATATACAATTATGCACATATATATATATGTAGTATATATATAATATATATTTATATTTATTTATATTTATATGTACTACATATAGCCAACATAAACAAACAAGGACCAAGGTAAGCAAACGCAGGAGAACGCAACAAAATGTGACCACGGGGACTGGAACGAACACGCAGTCCCTTTTGCCCCATGCAGTTCGTCTCACAACGACGAAGTTGTTTTGCAACATGTTAAACCAAGGGGTTCCAAAAGGTGGTTCCAAAACCACAGTGAATGGATCATGGACACCCCGTTTTAAACTTTGGGTTAGAATAGGCTAGAGTAGGGGGTGGGTTCCAGTCGCTGCCAGTCAGCTTGGGGATCTCACGCCGCTGCCTTGCAAGGAGGCGCTCGCTGGTTTGCCGCGGGCGCAGCCTTAGTGACGGACGCCGGACGCCCGGTTCCCATCGGTCGGATCTCAGCGCTGCTCTCCTCCCATTGCAGTGCAGGAAGTCATAGTCCAATCGGCTCATGACACAACTGAAAAATGCAAATTGTTGGTCGTTTGGTAAATGGCAATGGGTTTAATGCATATGATGCTTGCAAAAGTTGGACATTAGAATCACACAAGGTTAATGCTTTGATCGAGACCCACTGTTGATGCAACAAACAAATGATCAGAAGCATGGCCAACAAAGGTTTGTCCTCCCTGAAATGTTTTACTGAATCACACAAAGCGACATTGTTCCTGCCTCTTTAGTGCCGTGATCGTGGATCTGGCTCAAACACAAGATTTTGCACCCTGCCATTGCATCGGGATTATCAGATGTGTTCTTATATGTATCATGATGCATATGTATCCACACATTATTGCGACACATTGCCCAAATTATAGCATATTATCAAATGTCCAGCTTTACGCTACAGGTTGAGCATGACCATTTGCAGACGAAGAATGACAGGTTGCATATCCGACTTGGCCTTCCGCTTGAAAGGAGCTATGTCAGCAATTTTGCTGCTCCTCAACACCCTCCTTATACCCAATGAGGCTTGTACGATCATTGCCGTGGGGAAGGATGCCAGTGCCACAGGTGTCATCGCCCAATCAGGTCACTTTTTCAACTCGTTTTGTTCGTTTTCCATGTATACCTGAACAAAAGCATCCGGATCATGCAGACTGTTGATGAGAAAAACACACATGAAGATCTGCAGTCCAAAGTCATTCCAAAGTCCAAAGGAATCCAAAGGAGGAGCTTGTTACTGCAATCAAGAATTACGGTGTTGTTCAGTTTATGCACCTGAGATTGGATGAGGTTTTCCAATGGTCTCACACAGTGACGACAGTGGCCCCAGCACCACGGACGTGCGCCTCGTGCGCGTGCCACGGCGTCAATGGCCAAAAGGCGCCACACGCAAGCTGTATGAGTGGCATATCCCTTATCCGCGCATGGTGAGCAAGGAGATGGCACCGGATTATCATCCTTTGCCGGGACAGGAGGACTGGCGTTTTGGGTTGGAGGTGCTTGCTTGAGATGCACAGCGTCACAAGAGGTGATGGACATTCAATGCCATTCACGAATTTGGCATAGAATGTGCATTGAATGTCCATTACAGTACTAATTGCAAGAGTTCAGTGTCCATACTTCATAGCTCCATTTCTTGGCATGGGTTGGTCTCCCCAGAGCTTGGGCTGGAAAGAACCAGTGAACATCTCCGCCAAGCCATTCCCCGGGCATCGGCGAGGAGTTTGAAGCGATCGGGGAGATCCCACAAGCCGAAGAAACCTGGGCCTATTGGGACACCGAGCGTCTCGCCTTCTGAGGTGAACTCGTGTGAGAGGCGATCGCCCATGATAATTGACTCCGTATACAGAGCATAGGGTAATTGACTCCAATGACCAACTCATTTACCATCATATACCTCAAGTATATACTCATGTACCATATATAGTTGGTAGTTGACTCACATATATATATATATGATTCATATAACATATACTATGACCAACTCTTATATGTGGTCATTGGGAAAGACTGACACTCAGCATGCTTTGTGTTTTGTGCATGCTGGCCAGCGAGCCCCGTCCGCGCGTACCATCGGGTCCTGAGGTATGGCATGCAAAATGAATGGGGCTTATCCATCGGTGAATCCACCGCTACCGCTATGACCGCGGGCTGGGCGGCTACGAAGGATAAGCCTTGGGGCCACAACAAGGTGGGCATTGAAGATCTCACCAAACTGGCGTTGGAACGGTGTAAGACGGCGAGATGTGCCGTGCAAACCATGGGGGACATCGCAGTGCAGGAAGGCTTCTATAGCGCAGACACGGGAAGCCCTGATGCACCAGCCTACAGTGGCAGTTCAGAAGCTTTGGTTGTGGTGGACGCAGAGCCTGGTGATATGTGGGTCTTCAACGTGTTGACCGGAAAGAAGAATGCCAGTGCCATTTGGGCTGCACAGCGCTTGCCAAGTGATCATGTGGCGGCCGTGGGGAACTCCTTCACCATTCGAAGCCTAGATTTGAATGATGCCGAGAACAACTTGTTCAGTGAGGGCGTGACGCACTTAGCAGAGGAGATGGGCTGGTGGCGCGCATCCGACGCCAAGTATCCCGGAGACTTTGACTTCTTTGGTGCTTATGGCTACCAACCCAACAAGGAGAACACACCACCAGGTCAGATTGAAGCTCAGAATGCAATCAGAACCTGTTGAGCAGGTCAGTTTCCCAGGCTTCCATGAAGATATTGCAGGGCCTGTGCCACACGCTTGATCACAATGAATGACAGACAAACGGTGAGCTTGGCGTTGAGGCCACTGAGGTAAGGGCCGGTACATAAGCACTTGAGCGACTCAAGTTCCCAAAACTTGGAATTCGCTGTTGGGTGCTTTTGTTATTTTTTTGTTCACAGCTATTGAAGCGCTCAGCAGCTATGCGCGGGCCAATTCCTTGGATATCCTAGGATCACACAATCACATATATATATATATATTATATATATCATGTATAGTATCTATTTTCGGCCAAATGAGGAGAGCATGACGAATCTCTTGGCATACTACAGTGGCCGACGGATGTGGCGAATCTTCAGTTTGCTCAGCCCCAGCGAGGGCGCGAAGCTGGATCCCGATCTGGGCAATGTTCCAAAGACTAAGAATCCCTACCCACCTTCCGTGAAACTTGCACCGAGCAACAAGTCCTTTTCATGTCCAAGCGTAGAGTATGTTCCACCGAGACTTGTCCGTTTTTACCAGTATCGTCTCCAAACGATCACCCGAAACTCGGTCACTCACGGGGATGTCAGGGGCGTCAACGCCTCCGGTGCCAAGCCGAAGCGAGGAAAGCTCCCAAACACTCGGTGACGCGTGAGATGGTCATGGAGGCCTTACGAGATCACTACGAAGGCACTGGGCCCGAGGGGGGCCGAGGGGCGTCCAGTTGAGGGGCCCAGGGGCCAGGTTAGGGCCTGGAGAAGGTGACAAGCTGAGTTTGGAGTCTGGGGAGGGTGGGCGCAAGTGTTTTTTTTGCAGTGAGGACATGCAGTTGGAGTTTGGGCTTTAGGCCGCCGTAGTGGCCACAGTTCTCGGGCAAGTGGAAGATGGGCTTGCCATGGACAATGTTCGTTTGCACATTCAGAGGCTTTCGAAGATGAAGATACTTGTTGGTTTCAGTTGGGGCGGGGTATGGTCCAGTATTATATTATGGCACTTATATAACTTGTATTGCTTTAGGAAACCGAGCCGGCCTCGACCTGGGCAGTGGGCACTTTGGGTGGAACTTGGAGCACATGATTAGAAGACAGTTGTCTTTTCTTCTGAGAAGATTTTGAGCCACCAGCCCACAATTAGTGCATGGGTTGGTTTGAATCAATAATGAAACGCAAGTTTGCGGGAGCTTGAGCGGGAACGCATAATTATCTCTTAGACCATGCCCACTGCAAGTAAATAGGTGATTTTAGTATGAAATGGGGCTAGGAAGAACTGCCAGCCCTTCACAAGCTGATAGATGTCCATCAAAGCTTAGTCTTCTTGGGTGCAGGTGTGACGACGTGGCACATACTCCCCCAGATTGCGACAGGTCTGTTCTTTCTTACGTCGCCAGGCACTCGATATGATTTGACTCAAGGGATGGCGGCTGGGCCTCATGGCACGCCGAACCGCGGACCAGTGAAGGGCATCACTGGACAATGGGAGACCTGGACTGTCAGTTCGTCCCAACCAGGGGGTCCAAAGATATTCAATTGTGGGTGTGCGTCTTGTAAGAAGCGACCTGGAATACTATAGGAGTGGTCCTTTTGTAAGTGCGTTCACGGAAGACCCATGCAATCACCATGGTAACCCAACATCCAATCATGGTCCGCAGTCGAAGGGAGGGCTCGAGACTTCATGACCAGCGCGGTCAAAAGGGTGCGCATGAGGTGCGCTGTTTGCTAGTTGCCGGTAGGTGGCAATTCCGTCGTGCATGGTAGCGGAGCCAGGCCGGGGGGCTCAATAATACCCCGGCAACCGATGCCAGAGGACCGCGATCATGTTCCTAGCTGGGATGGTTCCCCCGGAACGTTCGAATCGTACGTCACAGCCTGCAAATGGTATTCGAAGGGCACCAAGGAGAGTGAGAGGAAACTGGTGGTGGCCCGACTCTGGCGAAAGCTGTCAGGTGCTGCGAAGTCGATAGTTCGATATGCTGACCCCGAACAGTTTGATCATGAGGACGGGTTAAATCAGTTTTTGGCACTGCTCCGTGAGAGCCCACTTCAACGTCTACCAGTTCCAGATAGTTTCAACAGGTTGGACAAGTGGAGCAATCTCAAGCGAACAGATCGCGAACCGGTGGCCGAACTGATAGTCAGGGACTTTGATTGTACTAATCCGAGAGTGGATGGCACGTGCGTCTATGGTCCCTCGCTTGCGCCTGTTGACCGGCCGGGGGAAAAAATCACTGCGGTAGCAGCGGGAGCCACTACTTGTCTCCACGAGCTAGCTATGCTCATTTCGCTTACTGTGCAGCCATGCATGCGATGGCAAGAGCTTGGTTTTGGGCGGGCGTCAATCCTCTATAGGAGAACCCAAATCATGTTAGAGGCAGCGAGGCTTTTGCCGGCGCACAGGAGGTTACCTCATGTGACGTTCCTCAATGGGCTCTGGTGGAAACTCTTAGCACTGCAGCCAGGAAGAACTGTTTACAGAACTTCAACAGTCATTGGCTAGAGCAAGGCTGGACAGGATGTCACCGGGACAGGATTTTCTTCCAACCCGACCTGCTGTTCGTGTTGACCCACCGTCGACGCCATCGAGGAGCCCAATGTCAGGGAATCGTGCTGGAGAAGAGAGGGGACGTGATTTGGGAACCCAAACATTTCCATCACAACGACGACTGCATCCGGAGATTTCTTTGAAGATGAGTTGAGAGGCTACAGATTGTTGCGGGCATGTCGTTTGAGCG